CCTTAAAAAAAAAAAAAAAACTTTGGATTTGAAAAGAAAAATTTTAAAAATTTGTAGAAAAGAAAAATTCAGATTTCTGTAGATTTTTATAACTTTGCCAAAGGTATATGAGAAAAATATTATATTATAAATATTATATTTACTTTCTATTTTTATAATATAAATTCTATATGTACATATTTAATGATATTAAGATTCTTTTTAACGTACGATTCTTTTTATATTATATTTTCCCGCGTCACTAAAAAAAGATTGGAAGTTGATTGACTACAGTCAAAGGGTCAAATATCTTGTTCGAAATAGAGCGAATTAAAATATCAGGACAAGTTAGATACAACTGAAAGTGTCAGCCATCGCACAGATCGCCAATAAGACAGGCATAATCGTCGAACGGCGATAGTTGCTACATGCGATTAACTGGCTTTCATCTTCGATGTCTTTTAAAAACAATGCAGTTTTTCAAAAATGTTTACGTTAATCGCATGTGTCAACGCGCGCGCGTATTGATTAATTATTATAAATATATATTATAATTTCGATTATGTTCCTTATTGTTAAAAAATGTTACTCTTAACAAAAATAAAGATTATTTAATAAATATTATTATATATTAAATATTTTCTTTCTTCATTTATTAATAAAATATATATTAACAAATAATTTTTTTAACTATATTTTCTATTATTTAACTCATAAAAATGTGTTACTTTTTTTAACAAAAAGTACGATTTAATAGATCTGTTGTTTAAATCTTTTACATTGTGCTATAGTAATTTAATAAAAGCTTAAACATATATAATAATACATATTTTAAACATTAAATATTAACAACTTTCAGCATTACTAATTATTACTAATTACTGTACAAATTATAGTAATAAAAAATATAACATAAAATATGTCTTAAGTAATATGATTTGAGCAATTTGATATGAGCAATTTTCTCTTATATTGAAAAAATACGCAAAAAACAATTTTATTTTTTTATATTTAGAATGGTATTTCTCACAAATGAGAAAACTATGAGTAAAAAGAATGAGATCAAATTTTCATCTTTGAAGCTTTGGGTCAGTGAGAAAAGCAGAAAGGACAACAATTCTTGTTGATGCTTTCTATCATATTTCTATCATATTATAGCGACCAGTAGATTGCTGCGAGCCTCGCACATTTCTGCGATATCTATGCGATATCTTTTCAACCTAGATTGCAAAATATAACTATCGACAACAGGAAATCTTGTTTCTTTAAAATGTACAGACACCTCTTTTCATCATAGGAATCTGTCTCAGAAATTAACCAATCTATACGAACGAGAAAGAAAGTAAACGCGTAATAACATTCTCGCGAGTGTAGCGCTCAATCTCGATTGTACTTCGAACAACGCGCTTGTATATATTATTTAACCTATTCCTCTAATTAACCGAATCGTTTTTGTT